AATTCAAAAAATAAATTGCGAAAGAGAAAGCTAGTTTTTTCAATGTCTTTATTTTATAGTGAGAGGAGTGTTAGCTAATTAATTAGCACCTAGTTGCCTACTATTCCCACTCAACCCACTATATAATCACAAACAGCAATGCCTTATCTATGATTCGAACCTAGGACCACCTTGTAGCCAAAGTTGGAGCTACAATCATCTAAGCTACGCGGATCGGTGTAGTTTTAGTTGAATACGGATAGCGGAAGTTTTCAAGCTATGGCGGTATTTGAACTCTGTAACTCTGAAAACTAGGAAAGTTGGCTAAAAATGAACTGCATAACGTAGTCAGTCGCACGCGCCCCAAATGACGTTCTGCTTCTCGACGGATTACATAATTTGGTGTAATCGCGGGGGATTTTCAAAATCAGAGCCGCACCGCATTCATTTGCGAAACCTAGGATTTTTCTCGTCAACCCTTTGGAACCAAGAAAGCAGACTAGGCCGAATTGACGATCCAGGGATATCACTACCGTTAAGATACTGTAAATAAGATAGTCACATTTTTGAATTTGGAATTCAAATAAGTACCTTTTTCCTTTTAGGATGTTTAAAAATTGATTTATTGTCGGTTGAACTTTAAGAAAACCCCTTAAAGAATCGGTCGATACATGGTCAAAAGATCTGGAAAACCGGATAGAACCGTTGAGTGAAGAAATCCAATCCTAATTCCTTCACTCAACGATAGAACTGTATATAATTCGTCTCTATGTGGACCCATCTAGAAAGAACTGATTTTTGAATGGAAATTTAATATTAAATAATGAAAATTCTCTATTAGTATGTAATTAACCTTCACAAGGCTTAAAATTCAAATTTGTTTACCAATTTTAGTAGCAAATCGGATAATTAACATTATGGTAATAAACCGGTTTTAGTTGAAGTCGAAGTAAAAGAGTTCTTTAAAATAGAACACTTTGCTTTTGTCTTAAATGAAGATACGCAAATTCTGGAAAAACTGGTGTCTGAACTACAGCAATTTACTGATAATTGCTCTATACTTGAAAGTTTATTACATTAGGAGTTGTCAATTCATTATCCACAAACTTTATTTGCATTACAGGTACCGTTCGTTAACCGAGGTGCAAAACTCGAAGAAAAAGTAAGATTCCGGAAACTGTCACCTACTCTAAATTCAAGGTAGTGTTCGCAAATAATTTTATGAAAAACATCGTAGTGAATACTAAACGGTGCGAAGAATTGGTAATGACGTCAATTTCACCCACGTCGACGAGACATTCTTCTGGGTTTGTGCAGCGAGGCGAATAAACCGAGCAGTTTTTTTTTATTTTGTGCAAATGAGGTAAACCTTGAACGTCGCCGATGAAACTGTGAAAAGTGATTAAATTTCATAAGAAATGTAAGGAGGTTATTGGGAAGCTTCGAAACTACTTATTTAATGAATAATAATAAATCCCATATACCTGTTACTATATTGAGTAATTGAGCACAAATTGAATTCTGCATTCTGCAGTTATTAATAAGTTTACCGTTTGTTTGCATGCTAATTTAGTTAAATGGATAGTATAGGTAGGTTGTATTATTTAATGATACCCAAACATGCAGCAATCATAAGAATATGTTAATATGTAGCACTGTTAACGCCTACAACTCGACTTGGAAGCAACGTTGTCATTTACCAAGCTCTTTCTGCCAACGATTTCGCCAAAAATGTGGACTGCTGAAACTAAACCACCTTCTTGCACTTCATTTCAGATAATCATTTCAACTGGTAATTGGACCGTTATAACAATTACATTATAGCGAATTATAGCCAAGCCATAAAGGTAACAATAGGTTAAAAGAACTATGTAGAGCATGCAAGTAGTTATGTGCATAAATTAGTGCGTAAATACTGTTAATATGTATACCTTCACTTCAGTATTAGGATTATCCAAGTTCAGGAATAAAAGTAGGCACAACTTCTCACGAGAGATAAATGCTCACGCAACGCAAGAGTACGTACCTACCATCTCATTTAAAACCAACGGAAGTGATACCACAATCTTTTCAGTTCAGCTGCTGATTATTACAGCAACGATGAACTTCACAAACAAGAACAATGCACTTTAATGCACAAGAACTAGAAATGTTAATGATGGAAATTCATTTTGATATACTAAACTAGTATCTTTGTTAATCCACGAGATGAAATGGGGTGGTTTACACGAGGAAAAAAATTACTATTTTTTGAATACTGACCGAGAAAAATATAAAAGTGTATAACTTGAGAAGATGCGAAACTACAGGGTCATAAACATTTGTGTTGGTTAAACAAATGAGGTAATAAGAGATAACTAAATTGGTATTAGCAAATAGGTATTAAGTTTTACTATTCATTGTCGGGTAATTTATGCATTAGCCATAGGAAAAAAATTTTATTTTTTTTTCGTTTACCTACCTGATGTGTTAACAAAGCTCTTAGTTCTAAGATCTCAAGAATTTGTTTGTATGAGTTTAACTTTTGTTTGAAAAGTGATTTTAAAAAAACTGTTCGACAATTTTGTTCCTTAACTCATCAAGTATGTACAAAACGAGGTACAAAACGAATTTCGTGGAATTCTCTCCATTTTCGTTATCCGGCCAAGAATTGCAGTGGAATTTTTTTTTTCGAATTTTCAAAAAATAATTCCCGATTCGTGATTTTCATGTTTTTTACGCACCCACAAGTAGGGGTGCGCCGTTTCCTGGTAGGAACACCCGAAAACCTATTTAAATACGTGCCACCCATCTTTGTAACTCTTAATGGTTGCTGAGAAAAAATTAAAGAACAAATCCAAATTTCACCACTTCTTTGGGGATGGCTCCCGAACGAAACACGTTTGACCCTCGGTTTATTTGGAAAAAGTGCTTGTCTTGATCCCCTCTATCACCCAATTTTTTTACATAATTATTATTTATGTTTTAATGTTTAATTAATGTCAATTTCAAGGTGCACAAACGTCTATATGCATATTTATTGCAGCCTTCTCCTACATAGACTTTGTACAAACTGATTGATTGTTTTTCAAGGCATGGAAAAGTATCAATGGTACACTCCATCTATTCGAACCGCTCTTTTTCGATTTTATTGCTTGTGACTGTCGCGTTTGCCGTAAATTTCGGCTGTTATCATGTAGAATACCGAAAAACCAAGTATCAGAGGAGAGCACTCACGAAAAGAAAATGGAACATCTGACAAAAATGTCGTCAAGCAAAATGTCACTTCGACTGCATTTTACAGACGGACTCACTATTAACACACTAAAAATCAGTGATGCACCAGACCTCTTCTTCTATTTCCGCAAGTGGAGAAGCGCTCTGATTGGCCGAACGGGGCGGCGCGTGACGTAAGTCGCGGGCGGGGTTTGTCAGCCGAGCCGGCCGTCAGACGTGTCTTTGTTCGCTTTCGTTGATCTATACTATACTATCGCTTTCGCAAAAAATATTTTGAGTTCTGTTTCCGCTTCTGCTTCCGTTATTTCCGTCTCATCACTACTAAACTCATAGTAGGTTACTTTTAAAGCAACGATTCAAGTTAAAGAATTATATACTATCTAATCAAGTGTACAGGGTGATTGAAAAAGGTGGACACGATTTTAAACATTATTAAGTAAGGCTGTATTTAATTTAATTTAATTTCTCTTTCACCAAAAGATCGAGAAAATCTTTAAGGTTTTTTGATTTATTTTAATGGGTTTCTATGGTGAGCTGTGATCCGGTAACTTTTTGACCTGATCCCGTATATATACATAATTTGAAAATGGCATAATATTCAACACTCATTATAAAGAAACTTTGAAAATCAAATACCAATATTACTTTTTTGATAGTACTAACGGAGAACTTTAGAAAAGTGTCGAAAATGAGACACACTGCACTTCAACGTTGTGAGAAACCCCTCGGAGAAACCCGCATTGAGAACGGGAATAAAAGCTATACTTTGGAATCGCTTTGTGTGACGATAAAATATATTAGCGTCAACGGAGGAGCGAATGACACCGGTCGAGACTGTGCTGTCAAAACATGTGAAAAGTACTGGCTTTGTAGAGTGTATGAGCACTAACGATCGCCACTGTTCTGGTTGTTAGTGCTTTCAGTGTTATATTTCGGAAACAGCTTTGTCTGCTGGTGCAAGATATGAAGCCGAGTATGAAGCACTAAAAGTCACTAACGGAGAGCTAATGATCGACGCATGTCCGGTAGTTAGTGCTTTCAGCGATAGTGCTAACTTTCCCGACCTGCTTTGGCCCTTTGTGTTTGAATGACCATAGTTAATTTTTATAGCTTCATTGATTGAAAAAGAAAAATTATTTTTATTTTACTTTATAATTTGATTCTAATGGTTTCCTACACTGCAATGCACGATCGTCGGTTATTTTTACATTCATTGTGATTTTTTCAAATGCAACACATAAGTAACAGTATATGTGTACTCAGTTCGTGGGCATTAAGAAATATATGTTCCATAAAACAACGCTAAAATCACCATCCAATGTAAAATTAGATTATAAATAACCTTGTGTTTCTCAAATAGATCAAAAACCCAAAACGGCCGATCCTTGGTCCAAGCGTAACCGAAGTTTCTTGGAAAGAAAATGTGAAGACAGTTTCCCCATTATTCCTACGGATCAGATACTTTTTCCTATCGCGACCCTCTGTCATTGTCAACGATTAAATGGTAAACTTCCGCGGTCCAGTTTGAATTTTATTAAAATTAGGTAGCTAACCGGTTCGCTTCAGACGGGCACGTAAAAGTAAAACCTTTCCGAGAGTTGCGTTTAACAACAAATCGTTATGAATCATGATGTGATAAACCTTTGGTTTACCACAATGACAACAATTTTGTGAGGGCCATAAATTTCGAATTCATATAATTGCAAATGAGTCTAAGTGAAATCCTTTCCTTTATCCACCTTTTGCGTTATTTCTATTTTTGTATGTATTTTTTCCCCTTTTCTGTTTTTTTTTGAGATCCTTACCTTTAGCCCACCCAGTGACAACGTTTCCAAGATACGCCACTTTGAAGGAGGGATCCGGCTCGGATATATCAACGCTGGCCGATCTTCGTAAACGTAGCCGATTCAAAAGAGTTCGAAGCACTCTTTTGCCACGGTCCTTTCTGTACCTATCCGGCATTTCGCAACTAAGAACTTCGATAGAAGCGCGTCTTTGTCCGACATTTTGGCATTCGAGCGTCGCGTCCACAGTGTCTTGTGCCATTACAAATGAGAACACTCACTAGAATATTATAGTTACTTGAATGTCACTTAAAATTATTGCCACAAGTCATTTGATAAACTAACAAGCACTCGGCTCATACGCAGGAAACGGTCCCAGTTCTTTTAGATATCAACTTCCTGGTTAATTACTAAGCACATAAACCAGAATACACAATCCCTTGCAGGTTTTCTGTCATTTTCACCGGCGTGAAACTTGCCTGTTGTTCCTGTAACAAAAGCAAATATTAGAAAAACAATTTTGTAATTACCATCGGTACGTGACAAATTTCGATTTCTGTCGTTGCAAACCACGAGTTGTGATAACATTGTTCTTGAAAGTAATACGACCGTAATGAATCTTGGATAGTTGAATGCTTATTGCGCCACACTTGGCCATCAACTTGACCGTTTATTTCGGACCAAATTTTAATTAATGAAATAGTTTACGAAAGTGAGAAATAAGTACATTTACATGTTCTTAGCAAGGACACTTGTAAATTAGGACCCGGTCCGCGTTGCTTACTTTTATAATTCAATGCTTTTATATACAAAAAAGTGGATTTGAAGTAAGTACCTAGCATTTTTATTACGCTGTGCGCAATAAAATAACACACAAATACATAAACATTTTATAGGCGATTACGAAAAATCATAAATGGAAGTGAATTTGTTGTTTTTCATTAGACGTAGTTACTGTTATGACATAGATGTAGAACCATTGAGTAATTAAATCCTTCACTCAACGGTAGAACGATTTGAACGACATTGTAGTTTTTTCCTTAAACTACCTACGTTGTTAGGTGCAAAAAGCTCCTGACAATATTTTTTTCGAGTTCATAATTTCAAGCATGGTTAAGGGGGCGCAATCTGTAACGGGAGACGTCAGGTGCCCGTTTAAGGTTTGGAATAATTTTTTGGCTTCCTAGTTCGGACGTTTTATATCATTTTAAGCAACGTTTAAAGAATAAACTGTTTTCCGTCTATATGTACTGTACAGGGTGGTTCAAATTTACGGGTATCTCCGTAAGGATGAGAGATACCGTGTAGGTTAAATAGGGGAAAGTTTGTGTGATTAAAAAAACGCTTTTGAAATTTTTGAAAAACCTTTGAAAATAACTGTGAAATCGCGGAAAAACTGAAAATGTTGTTTTAATTTTCCCTACCTAGCTTAAAATGGTCGGAAATGGACGATTCCAGTTAGCACCCACTATGAGCATTTTTTTTTTCGAAGAATCAGAAACAGAAGTTCCATAACACCCTAGATGTAGAAGCTACAGGCTTTTAATTCCTTAGTTCAATATGGGCGCCACATTGGATTTTTATAGAATGAGATAGAGAGGACTAAAAAAGAAATTCAGTTGATGCATCGCCATCATAGCCATGTTGAATCAGTAAGATCTAGTTACCCGTGGATATTTTTTGAGAAATGAATGCAAAGCTTTGGATTTTGAAATTTTTCTTGTAAATTTATGTAAAAATATAGTGTGACACGTCATTATTTTTCTTTTTTGTCCTGTATCTCGTTCCGTAAAAATCCAATATGGCGCCCATAAGAAATAAGAAAAAGAAAGTAGTAGCCTGTAGCTTCTACATCTATCGCGCCATGGAAATTCTGATAACAGATTCAGATTCTCCCAAAAAAGTGTCCATAGAAGATGCTAACGGGAACCATTCATCTTTGACCATTTAACCTAGGGCAAATTTGACATTTTCAGTGTTCCGGTGATACCAGTTATCTTCAAAGGTTTTTCAAAAATTTCAAAAGCGCTTTTTAGTCACGAAAAATGGCAACTAGGCCCCCAACCGTTACGGAGATCCGACTGATGAGCCACGAATTTGAACCACTCTGTACGTAGGGGCAATTTTCCAAGGGAACGGCTCGACGGGTTTAGCTCAAATTTTGGATATGTATTTAGGCATACAGAAACCAAAAATAACCAAACCTCGAACGGAACGGAACTTTTTTTTCAAATAGCAGCCTACAAAAATTGTGCCAGGTTTTATTACAAAAAACACAGAAAAAAATGTGAAATTTAATATTTAAATTTATATTCATATTTTTTAATATTTTTTGTCGGCAAAACGTTTATGATTTCCTTAAAGTTTTGCCACTGTAGCTTTGTCATAAAGGGCAATCCGAGGGGCAATCTTTTTGAGTAGTAATTCAAATACGAGTACTACCGGAATCAACGTTGCTTGACTGTAGACAATAAATCAATTATTAATAATAAAACACAAACAAAGGTAAAAAAACGCCCGAGTACGAGGTATTTACGAAAGTATAAAAACGTATAAAAAATGCAGTCGAGGGTGTAGCGGACATGTCTTTTGTGACTACCAATTTCGTAATCTTATATTTGAATCTCACTTTATTAATAATTTATATAAAAGATTTAAAACAGTCGCTTATTGCGGAGCGGAGACATCAAAAAATGATTTATATAAAATATTCTATCTATGGAGGGGTCCATTTACTGATGTTATGCATGTTTTGTAATATACTACCGCTCTTCTCTCCTACTCCCTTATAAAAATCGGTTACATCTCTCATGGTACGAAAGGTCTCAACGAAAAGAATTCATTTCTACCAACCACAACCCTCTTCCTTGCTCCCTTATCTTGATGAGTTATAATTTTTCATTTGTCAAGAGTTAAGTATCGGAGTGCAAATATCCCGAAAACGGTTGTCGGAAGAGGGTACAAAGGTAAAATGAATCATCTACCAAGAAGCTAAACATCGATAAATATAGCATGCTATACGAGCTTAATAATCTACTAAGCTAATTCGGTTTAAAAAATGCGCTTTCAGTGACCCACTAGTCTTGCATAGAAAAGTACCTAATTATCACGTTATCAGTGGCAGTGCTGATCACTAATGGAACTGTTAGCATTATGCGATTTGGTCTATGGTAGTACAGTGTCAAATAAATTTTTCCTCTACCCAGAGAGCAAGACTGGAAAAGCAAAAAATGTAGTTTCTATGCATCAATGCAATATTTGTAGCGGTTCTTCCGACGAAATTGGGGCATAAGCAAAGGCTTCGTTCAAATTTTGATAACATCCTGGAGTGAAAAATTGTTTCAATTGCACTGTATCCAGCAAACTAAACCTTGAAGAGCTTTCTGGGAATTCCTAGTATGTATTTGGATCTCGTCCCTCATACGAACAAGAAAATAGTAAGGGTCCATTTTCATTTCGCAAAATTGCGCTAAAAAATAAAAAACAAGTAAAAAGGTTTTCGCTCTAAGGCGCATTTTCCATGAATTGATCAGTACATCCCGTAAGGCCATACCTACGTGCGCTATGTGTTTCTTTACTAGAGGTGAGACTAGAGGCATATATGGTTAAAATGACAAGGTATGCCTATGCGTGACGTCATTGGGATAACTTGGCTCTACCGTTCAATAAAGTAATAGGGTTTTTGTAGTCCTACCAGTTAATAAAAGTGTATCCCCTTTACGGATGTGATAAGATTTATCAATCCATGTCAACTTCGTCAAGTTTCTCACCTTAAACTTACAAAGTATCAATTATTGCATGTTATCAATACAAATATTTAAAGTTACAAGAAAATATGTAAGTAAAAAAGGTAAAAATTATATTAGCGTTTTTAAATAAGGACGAGACCTCTAGCGGCAATAAAAAAAAGGCCGATTAAATTTCTGAAATAAGTAGATTAAGTGGTACGTTTAGCTTCTCTGCTGCCTTATATATATATCTAAATGCATTCCGAGATGCATTCAGTATGATTACTCAACCAAATTAATTGAGTAATTGCAATGGCACTTCTAATTCAAATATGAAGCGTATGTCATTTTCAAACTTGGCGGTGATTCTTGTGACGTCATTGGGATCAAAACGTCATCTGCGTTTAGTTATAGGCATACCTATGGTTAAAATGTCAAAGTGCCTCCATCAATAGTAAAGTTGACATTACGCAGTCTGCGCATGCGCACATCTGATTTTACTATATGCGATATATTTGCCTTTACTAGAAGTATTTATGGTTAACACTTCAACAAAATATATTAATAAAAAAAGTTGACATTGCACAACCTGCGCATGCGCAGTTTAAGCGTCCAGATGCACTTGGCTCAGATGTCAGAGCTATACGCTACCAAATGCAAATAGAACGAACTAAATATCTTGAAAACTGTAGGCCTCGGACAGACGGACGGACAGATAAAGTCGCTGCAATAGCGCACCCAACTTTGTTAGAAAATGCGCTAATAATATGCAGCTATCTAACGCATTAATTCGGCTCCCACGCATATCATTTTCGATAAACATGCGATTTATTTTATGACAATGGACTACCCGAGAAACTATGTACCCATATCCCTTTTTTTTCTAAATTAATTTGGAAAAATACAATTTCGCGTTGATTGAAAAGTGACACGAACGCTGAGTAACTGAAATGTTATTCGTGATTGCCGATTAAAACTCTGATTGGACTTGAATTGCTAATTTACCGCACGCTGATTAGAAATTTTTCATGAAACAATCGATGTTTAAGTAGAGTGCATTCGCTACGGGCACACTTTTGTTTTGCTGCGTGGTAATCGATTTCTAACTTAGGTACGCTTGAATTTTCCGCTCATTAGGAAGTTGGACTACATACAGCGGGATTATTAAAAACAAATCAGGTACAATTTTATGGAAACCCCCGTCACTATTGTTCTATCTACTACAAGGAAAGCCTCCGGAAAAACCGGTGACTATGCGAAAATACGTGCGCTGGATTTAACTTCTAAAATTACCTGCGATAATAATTTGTCAGGAGCATTTGGGCGTTTTAGGTAACGACCACAAGAACCAAGCCCTTTCCACAGCTACCAAACCCAAAACCCAGCCTTCCGTGTGAAAAATGGACAGCGAGCATTTTTTGGGACTGTGTATCACGATAATGGCGAGGTTGAAAAAGTTGAACGACAGAATTCATGGCAAGGCTGCCCATGTTCAATCCATTATTGCAAATCGTGGTTCACACACTTACCGCGTCCAACCTCTTAGCACCATGCTTCTCTTTCTTCATACATCTATAAAAATCTAACAGAGGCCGCAAATTTGCCTCAGACTTATGTAACCTCAAAGATTTTTTTAGGCATAACATAACGATGGATTCAATGTATTATTGTAGAGGGTACTTATCTACTTATGCCCGTTTGCACCGACAAATTTATGCGGAGCTTAGCTTAAGCGTCCCTTAAAATCCATGGCAACGATTATTGAGACAATGGTTGCCATGGATTTTAAGCTACGCTTAAGCTAAGCTCCGCTTAAATTTGTCGGTGCAAACGGGCATTAGAGAAATATGTACCTAAATAGTATATTAAGTATGGAGAACGGTAAGGGATTTTTACCGTTCGAAGACAATTGTTTGGAGGAGGAGCGAAGCGACGACTCCAATTATTGTCTGAGAACGGTAACCCTTAACGTTCGACGTGCTTATAACATTTTTTGCGCGATCGAAATTAAATTTATGCAACCAATATAAATATGCACTAAGAAATTAAC